GAATTACAAAGTGCAAAATTAGATGAAATAACAAAATTGTTAGAACTTGGTGAACTTGAAGCTGGTAAAGGAAAAAATCAAATTGACACTTTAAAACGAGTTGGTGACACTCGTTGGAGTTCACATTTTCATTCCATTTGTAGTATGATGAAATTGTATAGTGCATCTTGTTTAGTTCTCCAAAAAATTATAATTGATGGTTCAACTTATTCTCAAAGGGGTGATGCTGATGTTATGCTGCTTATAATATTTTGTCTGAGTTTGAGTTTGTATTGATTTTACACATGATGAAAGAAATTATGGGAATTACTGATTGTCTTTGTTAAGCTTTACAGAAACAATCTCAGGATATACATAATGCTATGCAGTTAGTCTATTCGACTAAAATTTTGATTCAAAAATTTGTTAGAAAAGTAGTTTTAGATCAAGAGGGGGGTGAATTGATCTTTGAAAGTTTTTCGCAAATAACAGATTATCTAATTCGAAAATTAAGTTTAAAGATCTGTTCTTGAATCACAAAGCAATCAATCAAAATAAACACAACAACTGAATTTAAAGGAGAGAAAGGTTAAGAAAGATATCACCGGTATTTTATACTGGTTCACCCAATACCAGGGCTACGTCCAGTCTCCAGCCAAATTCCAGCTGGGTTCCACTAGATCAAATGTTTTACAGATTTACAATCTTACACTTAATCTACCACAAGAACCAAATTCCAGTTCCTGCACTCAACCTCTCACCAAGAACCAAATTCCAGTTCTTGATAACCTCTACAACCAAATTCCAGCTGCAGAGAAACCAGTGCCCACAATTCCAGGCACCAACACCTAACCTTTCACCAAGAACCAAATTCCAGTTCTTGATAATCTCTACAACCAAATTCCAGCTGCAGAGAAACCAGTGCCCAAATTCCAGGCACCACACAGTACAAAAGAATGAAAAATAATTGAAAAAGAAGAAACTAGAAAGCTCAAACCAGTTTATGTTATTCTGCAGTGAGTTTCTTCTTTAAAGAAAAGCAATATGCCTCAAGAAAGATTTTCAAAGAAATACTCAAAAACTGACGCGAATCTTTCTTGCAAAAGAGTGCTAAAGTTGCTTGCTTGATTGCTTAAGGATGTGTGAAACTTATGTCTAAAAAGTTCCAAGCAACTCTGATTTTATAGAATATTTTCAAAACTGCTGCATTATTTAATCTGTTAAAATATCCGTTTAATCTGTTAAAAGAGTCGTTTCAATCTGTTAAAAGTCCTTTTAATCCATTAATACGTTCTTGATTCTTTAACAGATTTGTTTTAACTGATACGATAACGTTTATATCAGTTAAAACACTTTACAGAAAATCTTCTAAGTTTATTTAATCGATTGTTTCGCGATTCAATCGATTTAAATACTATAAAACTTTCTTGTAAAACTTTTCAAGTTATTTTAATCGATAAAAATAGGTTTTAATCGATTAAAACTCCGTACAAAATTTTTCCAAGTTGTTTTAATCGGTTAAAACGTGTTTTAATCGATTGAAAGCAGCTTGATCGGTCATAACTCAATTTGATCGATCATAACCGATTCTCGATCGGTCATAATTTCATTCTGATCGATCATCCTGAACCTTTAAGTGATTTTAATCGATTGAAACGTGTTTTAATCGATTGAAAAAATTCTGATCGCTCATAATTTAAATCTGATCGATCACATCTGATTCTGATCGGTCATATTTGTATTCTGATCGATCATAATGAGTTCTAAATGAATTTAATCGATTAAAATCAAGTTGTATCGATTAAAATACTATAAAAACACTTCTTTGAACATTCTAAATGATTTTAATCAGTTCTTTCAAAACTATATCAGTTAAAAACATGTTTGAGAAAGCTTTTGTCAGAATACTTTGTTTTTTATTGTTTAAAATGATTTTAGAGGCATTTTGCAAAGTCATTTAAGTGAAGAAACCTCATGCAGCAGAAAAGATAAAATGATTTTACCTAAGCATTCTGTAGACACACTAATCCTTCTACTTTTTTATCTAAGTGACTTGTTGACCGTTGCAAAGTTGACTTTTGACTTCATCTTTGACTTCATCAAATCAATGAGATCTTTGCCAAAGTATTTCAATAAGATCTTCATCACTTTCAAAATTAAGAGAAGAGGGTTGGCAAGATTTGTTGAAAGATGTAATATTGTTTTGTGAGCAACATGACATTGATATTCCTAATTTTAATTCTACCTATGTAGCACATCATGGTCGTTCTCGACATCAAAAAGATTGTATTACAGTAGAACATCATTTTAGGGTGAACATATTTTTTATTACAGTGGATAAAAAATTACAAGAATTAAATGATAGGTTTAGTGAGAAAACAATGAAACTTTTAACTTTAAGCAATGCTTTAATTCCAAATGATGTTTATAAAAATTTTAACATTGATCATATATGCAAACTTGCGAACAAATTTTATCCTTTGGATTTTAGTAAACAAGAGAAGATTAATTTAAAATTTCAACTTCATCATTTTATACTTGATGCTCCTAACCATCCAGATTTGAAGATTTTGTCTACCATGCTTGAATTATGTCAATCTTTGACAAAAACAGGTAAGTAAGGTACATTTTATTTAATAGATCGTTTAATTCGTCTTATTTTAACTTTTCCTGTTTCTATAGCTATAACTGAGAGATCATTTTCTACAATGAAGATTATCAAAACAAGACTGCGAAATAGACTGAAAGATGAAATTCTTGCAGATAATATGATTATTTATATTGAGAAAGAAATAGCTGAAAACTTTAGTTCTGATTCCATTATTGATGAGTTTAAATATTTAAAAGAACGAATGACACAATTTTAAATAAATATCTTATTTTTATTTATTATTATATAATTTTTTTATAATTGACCTCTAAGATTTATTGGTCAAGATCCGTCACGGCTTAAGATGGAATCCGAATCCTTGAATCTTGTGGCATGTGAAAGGGGTTACAAATATAGTGGCATGTCAAAGGGGTTACAAATATAAAAATAGGACTGGTGATTGATGTAATGCAATTTAAAAAATAAAAATCATAATTATAGTGTTTGGAAGATTAATTCAACCGTATATTACTGACGAGATAAATATTTGTAGGCTTCTCTAATATTCGAATCTTTAATAAAACGGATCAAGATTTTCTATCTATCAAGATTTATAATCCATAACTAAAAGTAGATGGACAATAAAATTACCGCATGATCATATTTTAAGCATTGTTAAAGCCTTTTATAAAAATAAAAATAAAAATAAAAATGAAAATGACACTTACATTGAAGTCATGTTGTAACGTAAAAGTGTCACGCTAAATTTGAATACAGTTTTGCTAGCAAACGAGATAAAATTGTAAAACAAATAATAATAATAATAATAATAATAATAATAATAATAATAATAATAATAATAATAATAATAATAATAATAATCAATTTCTTAAATAATATATTTAAAACACAAGATTAGTTAAATAGAATCTTTATAAATTTATTTATCACCTATACTTATTTATTATTCGTACACAGAATTTAATAATAAAAAATAAATTCCTCTGATGTAATAAATAGTTTGCTCTCTTTTTTATTTTTTATTTTTTGTTATTTTTTATTTTTATCTCTTAATTTACTTTTTGTTATTATTTTTTCTTTATCTTAATACTTATTTTAATACTTGTTTTTTTCTTCTTTCTCCTTTTTTATTCTTATGTGACTCATCTTATTCTTCTAATCAAACTTATTCTTCTAATTAAAAATATTAAATTAAAATTTAATGAAAATAAGTTTATTATTATTTAAAAAAATTAATTATTCAAAAATATTATAATTTAATATATTATATTTTAAAAAATATTATATTATAAATTTAAGGTATTATAAATTATTATATTATAATTATTAAGAAAAATTAAATATTTATTTTAAAGTAACTTTTTAATAAATATTTTTTTAAAAATTATATGACTAATCTTCATAACTCAACTTAATTATAATTAGATTATATTATTAATAAAAAATACATTTCACTCATAAATATTTGATATATTTTAATTAGATGGATAATTAATTTATTATGATAAAATAATTTAAAATTATTTATTTATATTATCATAAATAAAATTATTTACTGTTATAATAAATAAAATTATTTATTATCATCATAATTTTTAAATAATTAGTTGATATTTTTTAGTTTGATTTTAAAAAAATTATATAGTTTTTTTACTAATAAAGATATATATATATATATATATATATATATATATATATATTCTTAATAATTATAAGATGATAATTTGTAATACCTTAAATTTATAATATAATATTTTTTAAAATATAATTTATTAAATTATAATATTTTTAGATAATTTAAATATTTTGTTTTTTAAAAATATGAAAAAACTTATTTTTATCAAAATTTAATTTAATATGTTCAATTTGAAGAATAAGATAAGCGATAGAAAAACAAAACAGAAAACAAATAGGAGAATAAAGAAAAAAAAATGCATGAAGTAAAGGAAGAGGAAGAAAAAAAAATAAGAGAAGAAAATAATATACCTATATTATACAAGAAAAAATATTTTTTATTATTAAATTTTGTCTATAAACAATAAATTGTTTAATCTGGTAAATAGACTTGGAGAAATTCTATTTAAATAATTTTTTGTTTTAAATATATTATTTAAGAAATTGATTATAATAATAGGAGAAAAAAAAACTAAAAAACCAAAAAGAATTTAGGAATCAAACCAATTAAAACCTCAATAATGTAATTTCATCTCAAAATGATTTTCGAATTCCGCGATAAGATCGGTAGAGAAAAGAACATGTCATGAAAACTGAAAGCAAGTGGCGAAAGAGTAACATTGATGACAAGTGCCTTACGGGAGAATCAAACAACCTTGTGTCTTAGGGTTTATAGCGCGTTGTTACTTAACCGAAGCAGCGTTGCGTGCATTGTGTTCACGGGTAGCATCGATTGATGAGGGTGAGGGATCTGAACACTGTTGAATTGTCTATTTGTTAATCTATCTGAATGTTTTGGGTTGTATTGTGTTGGTATGGTTAGAGTTTGGGAGGTATTCGGAGCTATGCAAAGCATCTTCGCATAGATGGGGTGAAGGATACTATAGCCATTGCCTCTGGCAAAGGTGGTGTGGGAAAGTCAACTTCTGCTGGTAAAACCCTTTGATTTCTTATCCCTCCTTCTCTTTCATGTTTAACAATTTTTTTGTTGTGTTGATTTGAATGAATGAAGTTCTGTTTGAACTTTGAATTGAATTTACAGTTAATTTGGCTGTTGCACTTGCGAGAAAGTGTCAGCTCAAGGTTGGTTTGCTTGATGCCGATGTGTATGGACCCAGCATTCCTACCATGATGAACATCAATACAAAGCCAGAAGTCACTCATGGTATAGCTTGTCTTACAGAATAATTTATATTGAATAATTTCATCATGTGTTAAGATTCAATTGCAAGGTACGAGACTTGAGTCTCGCATTGCAAGACCTTGGGCTCTCTAACTAGAACAGCTAGCTTTTGTGATATGGTTCTTTCAAGGTTCTTTATCAATTGGTATTAGACCTTTCCACCATGTCTCTCAGTTGCAAACGAGCAGCACTGGTGGTAATGCTGGCATTACTGTATTTGCCACTAGTGCACAACTGGTCCACGTGGCCTTCATAGATGTAGAGCATGGGGGGTTGTTAGGACCGAATTACAAGATACGTCTTGAGTTTCACATTGTCAGGCCTTGGGTTCTCTAACTACAATAGCTAGTTTTAGTGGTGTGGTTCTCCAAGGTTCTAATCAGTATGTAGCTACCAATATCAATCAAAGTTTTGGTTTCTAGTTTCCATGTTCCACCAACGGTGGTGATAATGTTGAAGCAATATATTAAGCTTAGTTTTGTGGCTAATGTTCTTCCAGCTTCCATTACAGTATTGCTAATATCCTGCTGTTCATTTATTTTCAGATAAGAAAATGATTCCAATTGAAAATTATGGGATCAAATGTATGTCAATAGGGTTCCTTGTGGATAAGGATGCCCCAATTGTCTGGAGAGGTCCCATGGTATATAACTGCTATTCGTCTTATTTGTTATAATGTTCCCTTTCATTTACTATTTCTTGCTGTAACTATCGTCTGCAACTTAAGTTTATTGTTGGGATATAATATGAAGGATTTCTTATTGGATGCACATTCTTGCAAAAGGCTTTTCTGTTGTTTTTTTATCTGAACTTCTATTGCTGCATTATTGTAGGTATCAAATGCTCTTGAGAAAATGACAAGGGGAGTTGACTGGGGTAACCTTGACATTCTAGTGATGGATATGCCTCCCGGCACTGGTGATGTTCAGATAGCTATGTCTCAAAATCTGCAATTATCAGGTAGTTAATTCTACATGATTCCTTCTGCGGGGGTTGTTTATATATTTATCCTATACTAGTCTATTGTGTGTTTATAATACTTAGCTATAACAATGAAAACAAATATAATTTTCATGCAGCCAGTAAGTGTGCATGATATTGCATGTTTTCATGCTAATTAATAACTATCTATTGGTAGAGATAGATCTTTACGGAAATCTCTACCTTGAGACAGGGGATACCATGAGTTCCCTGTCCAAAAATTATATTAACTTACTAATTATTGATAGTTAGGATAATAGTTCAAGTCAGAGACTATCAGGCGGTTAACCTTTGGGATAAGCTTGAACCTTCACTTTGTCTAACTTCATGCATTTAGTCTTTTTTGTTCTCATCTGCCTGATATATGCAACTAACCCTACATGAGGATTGTGGCTGGACCTGGTTACCATGCTCCGTTAATTCAGAATTTAAACATTTTCAATTGAATACTAATTGAATTATAAGCATCAAAACAAATTATTTTTAAATTCAACTAAATCAAAAGATAAAATTGAACAAAATCATGACATTTTCATATTTCATACTATAACAGTATTACTAATATTCCTTCATATTGACCTTTTCATAACTAGTTTCCATACAGTTAGCTTTCTTTGGTTATTCATTGTTAAGGCTGCTTGTATGGTAGGTGCACTGATTGTTTCAACTCCTCAAGATGTTGCATTGATGGATGCCAGGAGGGGAGTAAAAATGTTCAATAAAGTTGATGTTCCGGTATGATAATTCCTTGGTATACTTGCTTTGTTGCATGTTTACAAGATTTGTGAATCAGAATGTGCGTGTGTGCATTTCTGTTGTTGTTCAACACTTTACATTTTGCAATGTGCATATTGTAAGATGACATTGTGTCATCATTTGCATGATTTTTGAGCTTGTGGCTCTTAGCAAGCCCAATGACGAGACAGACAGGCCCAAATGTAGTGCCAAAAAGCCCTCTTGGTGAAAGGCCTTCGTTCACATGTAATCAGGCTTGTACAGGTAGGGCACAAAGGAGACGACTGTTTGGTCTCTCTTATTATATGAAGCCTACAACATCTGTGTCAAGTATCGGAATGAAATACGCTTTGAGCCTTTTTCGTAGTTTTTGATAGGTTCAGCTTACCCTAGTTTGCAGAAATTTATCTAGCAGTGGTACATAAGCACTTGATCCTTATCAGAGTGAGCGCTATGGTTTTAGAAATCCTAATGGCTTATTTCCGGAAACTACTTATGATGCTAAAGTTAGTCTGAATGTAGACAATAGGCATATCTTGTATCTGATGTCTGGTGGAAGCATAAACATTTGTGTTTATATTGTCTTTTTTGTTTTTGATTTCTGAGTATTTATGTGTGCCAATTAACATGCTGAGAATGAAATCCATGATGCACCATTGATATATCAATCATTCCTTTTCATGATATGGTGTTCACGTATCATATAAAAGCTGTGAATGCATCCCTCACGTATCATATGAGAATTCCAACTGTTCTTACAGATTTTGGGAATTGTTGAAAACATGAGCTGCTTTAAGTGCCCACATTGTGGCGAACCTTCATACATATTTGGCAAAGGAGGGGCTCATGGGACAGCGTCGGAAATGGGATTAGATTTTTTAGGCGAGGTAAGTTGATTATCTTTTGTTGATATTTAATGGGGACTTCATTTAATGAAGCAATTGGACAAAAGTATGAAGAAAAAAAATCAAAATTGACTTCTCTAGAAGTTAAGATTAGCTTATGCAATGGAAAACTTGGAGATTATTGAAGAATTTTGGATAAGTTATATGAAAGTTTCGACAAATCGGTCATGTATAAGCTAATTTTAACTCATGGAAACGCCAATTTCATTTATTTTCTTCTATTTTTCTCACAGAATTCTTTATAGAGAAGTTCGTCCAAACATATCCTTAGTAACGTAGTAATAGATCTTTTTAGGCTTAATTACTCCTATTATTTTGTTCACTTTGGTTTCTCTATTAATAATAGGTCAGTCAAGTCCTCTATTTTAAAAATGCAATAATGTAACTCTTTCAAGGTTCAATCAAATGTTTCAATATGACCTTTCTGTTTGTTGAAATAATGTCGTTAATTATATATATTGTCACTATAGGTTTATTATAAATTATATTATGTGTAAATTAAAACTGTTAATATTTTTTTTTACGATTGTACAACTAATTAGATGGAAAGTGGCTACATTGCGTTTTTAAAATCTAGGGACTTCATTAATCTATTGATAGTGCGACCAAATTGAATAATATAAATAAATATTTGGACTAAAAAGGTAATTCTAAGTCATCTTTTTATAATTTTTATGTGACAACTAACTAGTCACTTTTGGGCGTGAGGAATGACTGTTTAACTAACCTAATGTGTAAAGTAATTCACAAACTTATGGTTTCTGAACAACCAAATTGAATTTATATACTGAGAAATTCTGACATGTGTTGAATTTAATAATTACTCCAGATACCACTAGAAGTGGAGGTCAGAGAAGCTTGTGATCAGGGGCACCCAATAGTGTTAGCTGCCCCTGATTCAGTAGTTTCAAGAGCGTATGGCGAGGTAGCTGAAAAAGTTGCTCGGAAACTCAAGGAACAACGGTTCCAACCAGAGATAATAATCTGAAATGCATTTATTTAGTTCATAAAAGAAGACCGAACTACTTGCCCTCATGCTTTTAATATGGGTTTTTACTTCTAAATTCTGTCAAAATGGTGGTATAAAACATAGGCCCGGCACCGGATTTGATTTAGAGTTGTTGGAGATATAGCATGGCTAGAAGAACAACTGTCAGAGAATGTATCGAGAATCTGCAATTCTTGACCAGGCATTTGGTAGTTTTTACGCAAGGTATGCTGGAAGCTTCTGAGCATCTTATAAGGTGTGACTATGAGGGAATATATTGTTGAATGTTGAAAAGAACATGAGGTGTTCTTTTGGACTCAAACTTGTGGTGAATTCGATAGGTATCTTATATAATGTACCCCTCGCAGTGATCACCTTATGATATAAAAAGCTTAGTTAAAAAGATGATACTTAGCCATTTGACTAGGATTCCCTTGGCAGTGCCTAGGTTGAAGTTGAACATTTGTCACAGGACTGATCAACCAAGCAATTGAAAGCAGACTGAATAGATAGCTTCAACTTTTTGGTAAGGTTGGAATATATATCTATTGCGATTTCTATATACTTGTTTTACCAACGTCAAAAGCATAAAAGTGACTGTTCACCTGTACTGTTGTGATTTTGTTTACATTTACAATTTTGGGGTGGTTCAATGTATTTGCTTATAAAAATATATTTTGGAGTCTTATGAAAGTGATTTCTGGCCTTTTCTATAATTATTTTACGTGAAGCTTGAAAAAGTAAGTTTATTTAATTTATTTTAAAAACTTCATAATTAAAGTTATGGATAAACTCTCATCAATGCTTTCATGCATATCCTGTTCTTGCTAGTTTATAATATCTGATAATGACTAATAATCAACATCTTATGTAGGTTATTATTATCAGGCCAGCTAAGACCTTTCAATATTTGACATTAGTCAGCAAACAAACAGATTCTGTGTCGCCAAATGTGCTTTGATAAGGACAGAATCTTAACTCATGTAATTAAATTTATTATACATAAATATTTTTAAACATATAAATTATATTACGATTAAAATGCATAACAAATACAAAATTTTAAATATATATAAATATATTTGATTTATGATGAATAAATCAATTTGTTGTGTAATATTACTTTTAGTGATTGATAATTTCAAAAATATTAAAATATAATTTAACTACAGAAGATTGTGTTGATAGTTACAAAACTTAATTTAAAACATATAAATTAATTGAAAAATTATGGTTGAATTATAACTTATACATTGTCCAAAAGCAATATATGAGAGAAAAAAAGATATCTAGACTAAAGATATCTAATTAAAAGAGTGAGTTTTAAACTCTAAATAATATATTCTGATTTGTATTATACAAATAGATTTTAATTGTGTAACTCTTATTTATTATTTGAATACTTGTTCAATGGTTATAAGCTTCCAACTCTGCCTTTGTGTTTGATGATAATTGATTACCACTTACCAATGAAAATCTAATCATTTAAAAGTAATGAACATAACAAGAGGATTGAATATATAAGAATAAAATAAAAATCAGCGTAACTTATATAGACACTTTTCAAAATTAATACTTACACCTTTTATTAAATAACACCAGTAATATTTTTAAATCATAAAAAAATTAATGAAATGAAAAGACAGATTAACTTGACCTATGTTATTTTTTATTTTTAAGCAATAAGAAAAGAAACTGGGAAAAAAGAAAAAAAATAATTATTCGTTTATGTAGAAAAATGACATATATAAAAAGAAAATATTCATTTAAATGATAATAAAGAAATAAATAAATTTAAATTAAATATTTATATAATTATAAAATTAAATACACAATTACTAATTTTTTTTATGAGTAAAATAATTTGTAAACTTTTTTTTCAACAATATATATATATATATATATATATATATATATATATGATATTTTTTATTTAAATTTTTTTTTCTAAAAATACTTTGAATTTGAATAAATGAAACAATATTTATTATAAAAAAACTGTATTAAATTATTCGGATATCATTATGAAAAGTTAATATAATAAAATTATTTATATAAGAGAATACATTTTACATTGCTTTTATCGTGAAAAAAAATGGATTAAACTGAAAAGTGACAATTAAAAAAAAATTAAACGTTTCTCTTTTATAATTCATCTTTGAATTAAATAACATTCCTCTGCAACCTAATAAATAATAATATTTCCCTTCGAATAAAATATGATTTTGATATTTATAATTTATTTCGAAATAACTAATGATATAAGTTTATAATATATTATTAATTACTTTTATTTAATTTCTCCACATGAGCAGACTGAATAAAATTTATTATTAAGTAGAAGAAATTATTTTAATAAAATTATATATAAAATACATATATTTATTATTATTCTTATAATTTATGTATAAAAAATTTAAATAGCTTATATAAATAATTCAAAAAATAACAAAATTATCAGGGAAGTTCCTATATTGGTACAATTTACTTTCATTATTATCAATGAGTAAGTCTTTAAAAAAATTTCAATGATGATTGTAACGACCTTAGAAATCGCTACTATAATAATGTCTTCGTAAAATAGTAATCAAGTAAATAATATCTATATTACATTATATTACTGTAATTATAATATAGGCTGAAATCTCGGTTCATTGACGAAACCTCTAAACATAATAACATAATTTATTTATATAGATACAGGCAAAAGTAGCTCCCACGAGCTATCCCACTGAACTATCCCTAATGTCCAGTAGTCACATCTCCACCTCTCAACTCTTGGTTTGCTCCCACATAAAAGTGATCATCGCAATCTCATCCACATGGAAAAATAGGGGTAAGTATTAAATTATTCGATATAATAAAGCAGATATAGAATTAATCATTACATATTATCATCAATTACAAATCATCAATACACTAAGACACATTCCGAAAGTCTACCATAACTATATCTGAACTCAGAGGCTATCATCTGTGGACACATTGTGGTCGGCACTCACAGTACCATTCTGACCACCCTCCACACAGAGTGGGATTACTGGTGTCCTTCATCACTCATTCTGGAGTACCCCTCCGAGCGCGCCACCAATCATCCCCTATCGACTTCTCACCACTTGATCTCGTAGTCTACCTGACCTAACCAATCAGTGAAGTCTGGAACCTCATCCGAATCCTCCGACATAATTAGTACACTAATATACTTTGTACCACCTCGGGTACCATTCAAACACAACAACAATCATTCACATCTGTTGGATTCTGGATCACCTGTCCTCATGGCTCATTCAGGTCAATAAATAATAGTACTTGACTGATTCTGGGCACTAACCCTCCAGCTCAGTCTAGCCCACACACGTCATAACACGTTGTTGATTCTTTAAAATTTCTAATTTCATTCTATATTTTAATTATTTTTCCTAACATACCTTTATTTTTAAAGTTCCAATTATACCTTTAAACATTTTTCATTATTCCTTTTTCATCCGAAATCATTACATTACTATTTTGCCCTTAATCTTTTCTTAAAATTCCATGAATGTCCCTAAATGATATTTTTACCTTTGGACGTTTTCAAAAATTTCATTTATGTCCCTAGGATGTAAAATGATTATTTTACCCTTGATCTTTTTTAAAAATTCCCAATTTACCCTCATCTTCAACCTCCGATACCCAGTACGTCATGTCCAACCTCCAGGTTTCAAATTTCCAAGTTTCAAATACACAAACTAGTTCCAGATCCAAATTAAACATGAATTATGTCCAATTTAAGTTGAAGACAACAATTTTGCCATATAATTCATCCTTATTTCAAGAATTTCAACAAAAATTCAAATTTTGCAAAACGTGAAGAAGATTTCAAAATTATTCGTTCAAGTATTCAGATTTTCACTCCTATTCCTTATTCACAAAGTAACCAGTAATTCAGTTTCATATATTGAATGAATTAAACGTCGCCTTATCTAATGTGGTATTTCTACCGAAGTTTTCCCACTTAATTCAAGCTCTCTCCCATTTTACCAGATCCTGTACGAGTAGAGTATCGCTTGCTTGAAATTTAGACGAAAGAAGAAGAAGGATGGGAGGGAGAATCACTTGCTGCTGCCATTTCTTCCCCTTCGCACATATATAAAGAATTTTTTGGCAGTGCAGAGAAAACTTCACTACAAAATTTTTGCATTGTGTAATATTTTTATAATATATAATAATAAAAAAAATACGCAACATAAAGTTAAATATGAAGTCATGCTCGAAGATAACTTTGGTTTTTTTTAGTCAAAGTCATACATATATTTATCACTTTTTTGGTTTCTTAAGAATACACGATTTCAATAAGATCTTTTTAAGTTGTTTTTGAAGGACGATTTTAATTGATTTTTTATTAATATTGAAATATTATTTAATTAAAATCGTCAATTGATTAACAACTTTAATTTATATATATTAAATTAAATTTTTTATTTTTATTTAGTAAAAGTTTAATTTTAATATTTATTAAAATAAATAATAAATTATTATTATTTACACATTAATAATATTAAATAATTTTTAAATATATTAAATTATTGAAAATAAAATATTAATATGTTAAGTAAACAAAAATACACAATAAAAAAAATACAACATATATTAAAAACTTATATTAAAACCTTAAACAAGTAGAAAAAATATAATAATTAATCATGTTAATATGTTTCATACTTGTGATATTCTAATATTACGTCTTGGTCTTTGTCTTGAGATAGATTGTTCTTTTAGTGACAATATGTTTGTCTTATATTGTTTATTATTATTATTATTATTACATTAATAATAATAATAATGTAATAATAATAATAATAATCACATAGTAGTAATAATAATAAAAAAATCAAATAATAATAAGAGCGATATTATTAACCTTACACTTTAAACATGTTTATTGGAATATAAATGGTCTTCAATCAGAATACTACATTCAACATCTTGCCTCTAATTTCAACAAGAAATTTTAGAATACT